CAGATTGCTGTTGGACTCAGCAACACCGGGAATTAGTTCGAGGAGCAGACTCAACGTATCGAGATGATACAGTGACGCGAATTTTTAAATTAATAAAGTTAAGAAAGATCAAGGAATAATCACCGAGCTGAGCGCTTCTTTGATGGCATTCGGGAAGAACGTTGGCGGAAAGGATCCTAACGCTGGCCTGCTTACTGCTGTAGCCTGGAAATGAATCACTCTGATTTTATTGATACTTCCTGGTATTTGATCATCAATTTTCATAGCCGACATATATATTAGTTCAAAAGCATATGCTTCATGCATTTTGGAGTTTCGGTGGGAAAATATTAACTCAAGAACCAGAAAAGCTAAATGTTAGGGGGTCCCTCTCCCATGTGCAACTTAAAGGTTTCAAATTTAGCTCCAAAGTACGCTTGGTTTTCAAGCACCAGCACGTGAAGTTTTTGACAAGAAAACTACTAACTCGGCAGCCGGAAAAGTTGGAAAGCTAAAATTTTAAAGCAATGTTTCCTGTTCAAGCACAATTTAAAGATTTCAAAGTCAGTTCCTAAATACGTCTGGTTCTCAAGTATTGATACGTGAAACTGCTGGCACGAAAACTACTATATCGGAAAAAAACAGTTACGTCATTTTCAGTGTATAGCTAGTTACCGGAAATCATTCATTTTCCTTCATGCAAAATTGACAGTGGTGAGTGCACAGTTCAAAGTAAAGCAAAACTGTTCAACAGTCAGTGACCCCACTGCTTCAAGTTTAACGTGAAAAATGCATGATCGCACCAGCAAACCTGGTGTGTTACAGCCTAAGTATGTTTTCAGATTATTACGCTCAGCTTGTCAATAAGTTGCAAGTTATGGGACAGATGACACATTTGCTTCACTTATCAAATCCAGAAAATTAGAATGGGTGAACAGCCACAGTTATTTCGATACTTTTTTTCAGTGCCACTGGCCTAAGTCCAAATATTTTTGATGCATACATATGAGTGTTTTTTGAACCTATAATTTATACAAG